AACTTAGTTGTCATCTTTGGCTCCCTGAAGCTTTTTTAGAGCCATCTGAACATCCTGGAATTTAACCTTTGGTCTGGCTCTTCCCACTGCTTCTAAGCTGGTACCTGTAGCATCTTGACTGGTAACAGATGTTTGTTGTGATTGTTGCATTTTTAATTGTTGATCCATTCGTCTGGTAATCACACACATATTTCTACAAAACGATAAAATGTAATTACAATCAAAAGTAATTAAATGACCAAGCCAATTTTCTGGGTTGACCAGAAACAAAGAGAACCATAAACTATCTGCATGGCCTGAGTTTATATGTTATACAGAGATACAATGTGGTTGGCTCGTTCACGGTTCATTGTGTTGTAAAAATCCATCCATTCTCACCAATTTTCAGGCATTCAGCCTAGCTATCTGCAGGCAAACTTAAGTATTCCATTAGCAAAGAGAATGGTATAATGTTGAAGAAACACAAGGCTCTCTCTCTCTCTTTCAGTTCATACGGTTGAATTAATGGCACATAAAGTAAATATTGGTGCTACCTTATAATCACTGACATGCTTCCTTGCATTTTTTTTCCCAACTGTCCAGTTGATAACCCTGTGCCTCTGGGGGAAGAATTCGGGTCCTGGAAAACAGGTGCAGAACTTCTTGATGAATTTAGTGACCAATCTTTGTCACATATGTGTCCCGAAATCAAACCCAAACCCAGGTAAGATCCAGAAGTAGTTCTTTGTGTAACATTGCACCAAATGCTTCAATATGGAAAGTATTAATAGCTTATCTCTGGCTTATAGATGCTGAAGAAGATAATGTAACATATGCAAGCAACTAACAATTATGGTTCCATTATGCTTAGTAGTAAGAATATACTTCCTACTTATATAGATAATATATTGCTAAACATTTCCAAACTTCTGCTTCTTCTAAATAGGCGTTTTGAAATTTGAAACATGGACAGAAGAAAGTTGGGCAAATTTCATATGTCAGTGTTTTTCAAACTTGGCAACTTTAAGATGTGTGGATTTAAAAGAACTCTTGGGATTGAAATCCATACATGTTAATGTTGCCAAGTTTGAAAAATACTGATGCATGTCCATCACCCATGTAAAAGATGTCCCCCAAACCACATAATGGCATTTACATACATGATTATATATTTACATACTACATGCATTTGGCTGAACAATATGCAACTGTATATGGAAAATTATCATTAGTTGCTGGGTTCGTTTCAAAGTAAGCCTAGCATTGGTTCTCATTGACTGGGGGAAACAAAGATGGAAAATCAGTTTATTATGTATATAGTATATGTTAGATGCACATTAAGTTACAGACATTGATAGCAATAGCAATAGCAGTTAGACTTATATACCGCTTCATAGGGCTTTCAGCCCTCTCTAAGCAGTTTACAGAGTCAGCATATCGCCCCCAACAATCCGACAGATAGATAGATAGATAGATAGATAGATAGCAATAGCAATAGCAATAGCAATAGCAATAGCAA